ACATACATACATACATACATACATACATACATACATACATACATACATACATACATACATACATACATACATACATACATACATACATACATACATACATACATACATACATACATACATACATACATACATACATACATACATACATACATACATACATACAAGCAGACATTAAAGGCTGAGAACCAGAGAACTAAACCCCCAGGGCGACCAGGGGAGGCTAGGAATACAACATCTGACAGTCCCTGACTAACAGAGGACTGGAATGAAATAAAACTAACAAGAAAACTGCTGACGGAGCATAATGGCGATCTTTCTGGCAAACCTCTACACCCCAGGTTAGAAGAGAATCAACTAAGTGAAGTGAATCAGATTATAAAGGGCTCTTAGTATATCGTACCAGACCCATATGTATAAAGACTAACGGACACATGATGTCTGATGTGTTCAACATTGCACCTGAAACTTTACCTACTATGACATTTTTTGTACCCTCTGTAGGCTTTGCGAATTTATAATCGTAGCTTAATTTTAAAATAGTTTCCAATATGCGGATTTAAATCTGTGACGGCTAGGCCACCTAGCAAGTATACAAGCCACTGTGCTCCCGCTGATCCCACAGGACATGCGTTTTGTGGTTGCGCATAAGGAGCAACTACAGCCCCGTTTGTAAGCATCTGAATGTGTGATAAATGTATTAAATTTGACCGCCGGAAAGGTGTTTCCGTTTTGGAGAGGATACAAAGACTACAGGAGTGAAGACATCCTACATCGCTGGCGTGAAACGAAGCAAGATTTCTATTTTATTTCTTTTCAATTTAGCCAAACTGTGCCACAGCAACGCGTGGCCGGGTACAGCTAGTTATAATATACAATACAGCCAAATATCTAAAAATAATGAACAATATTTATTATTTAAAAATGGCCGTTATATATTTGAAATCTCTTATCGACTACCATACTTATTATTATTATTATTATTATATACAGTCAAATATCCTGTGCTGCTTCAGGTGTCAATGGATCAGTTCAACACTATTTCTTTTAAATTTGCTTTATTTCCACATCTCAGGATGAGTTATGAAATATGATGTTTTGATTCGTATTTAACTAACATTTAGAAACAAAGCATATAACAGGTAGTCCGTTATGGGATTAATTGCATGTGGAACTGCTACTTTATTCAGCTGCTGCTTCCATCAATGCAATTCTGGTGGCGGACCATTTTTGTTGATACTTCTATTGCTTGCATTGTGCATTTAGGGCATATGTATGTTACTGGCTTTGCCAGGACTACAGCCTATTTCTTTTTTTTTCCTTCTCAAAGGGCAGCTATAAAATGATGTGTGGTTTTTGCTGGCACGGGTATGGAATAGGTGGGGATGACTCATTTGCCATAAAGGTGGAACAGCACATAACTTTTTAACTCTGCGTGCGTGCGTGCGTGCGTGCGTGCGTGCGTGCGTGCGTGCGTGCGTGCGTGCGTGTGTGTGTGTGTGTGTGTGTGTGTGTGTGTGTGCTTCCATCAATGCAATTCTGGTGGCGGACCATTTTTGTTGATACTTCTATTGCTTGCATTGTGCATTTAGGGCATATGTATGTTACTGGCTTTGCCAGGACTACAGCCTATTTCTTTTTTTTTTCCTTCTCAAAGGGCAGCTATAAAATGATGTGTGGTTTTTGCTGGCACGGGTATGGAATAGGTGGGGATGACTCATTTGCCATAAAGGTGGAACAGCACATAAATTTTTAACTCTGTGTGCGTGCGTGCGTGCGTGCGTGCGTGCGTGCGTGCGTGTGTGTATGTGTGTGTATATGTGTGTGTGTGTGTGTGTGTGTGTGTGTGTGTGTGTGTGTGTGTGTGTGTGTGTGTGTGTGTGTGTGTGTGTGTGTGTGTGTGTGTGTGTGTGTGTGTGTGTGTGTGTGTGTGTGTGTGTGTGTGTGTGTGTGTGTGTGTGTGTGTGTGTGTGTGTGTGTGTGTGTGTGTGTGTGTGTGTGTGTGTGTGTGTGTGTGTGTGTAAACCGCATTTAGAATATCATGGCTCTACAGAAACTTATCATCATCGTCATGTGCCTTGTTTGCTGGCGTAGGCGTTCATGCATCCCCACAGATCTTGGTCTTGGTGGGTGGGTGGGTGGGTGGGTGGGTGGGTGGGTGTGTGTGTGTGTGTGTGTGTGTGTGTGTGTGTGTGTGTGTAAACCGCATTTAGAATATCATGGCTCTACAGAAACTTATCATCATCGTCATGTGCCTTGTTTGCTGGCGTAGGCGTTCATGCATCCCCACAGATCTTGGTCTTTGGTGTTCAGTATCAATTCCACTGATGATATTCCTCCATACCACTGTCTTAAGCCATCCGTCATCGTATCTCTTAGTCTGCCTCTGCCTCTGTTACCAGTGATCTTTCCAGTCGTCACGATATTTTGCAAGGCTCCTTTTTTCATCACATGACTAGATAACTTTGTATCCTTCTCATTGATATATATAATGTTCTACTTTCATTAGCCATTTCCAGGCAATGCCTGTTAGTTAATTCTGGCAGTCCAACCTACTCGCAACATTCTTCTCAAAAACCACATCTCATGTTACTGTATGGATAGAAAAATGGGTTTGGTGGATGTCTTGAAGAAAGAATTAACTCACAAAGATAATTGATTATTCTCGTATGAAAAAGATTTGCAAACTTACAAAGAGAAATAAGTACCCACGAACAAATGTAAGTATCTGAGACAGCAGATTTATGTGTAAGGTCCTCTCTGTTCTTGTCCCATATCCAACAGCTGGATGACAAGTGGGAGTTCCCCAGGCAGTATCTAACCTTGGAGCATGCCATTGGAGAAGGGGAGTTTGGTCAAGTTGTCAGAGCTCAAGCCTTCATGTTGAGAGGCCAAGAGGGAAACACTGTAGTGGCTGTTAAGATGCTGAAACGTAAGAACAATTAAATTGACAGCCTGGGTGATTATAGTATGGTTGTTGCGTGTTTATAGTTTGACATCATGCTGAAAAACCCCCAGAATATGTCTTGTAAAATGTCTTCTCCTGGTGGAGCTGTGAAAAGACACATTGCCACACTCAGCAAACCTGGCATCTAAGCGTTGGGTAAACACAGAGACCTCGAGCTGGTATCTCAGTTTATGGCCAATAATGAATTAATCACATAATCATAGATCACTGAAAAAGAAGAGTATTTGTACTGATGTTATGGTTGTTGTTAAAGAAGAAAAAGAAGAAGAAGAAGACGAAAAAGAAGAAGACGAAAAGAAGAAGAAGAGGTTTGCGTGGGTGCATTTGTTCTGTATATGTTTGTATGGGTGCTACAGTGATTGTGTTATAATGTTTGTATGGATGTAACAGTGATTGCGACGTGGATGTTTGTGTGGTTGCTACAGTGATTGTGAGGTTGATGTTTGTTTGGGTGCTAGTGATTTTGACGTGGATGTTTGTGTGGGTGCTACAGTGATTGTGAGGTGGATGTTTGTGTGGGTGCTAAAATGATTGTGAGGTGGATGTTTGTGTGGTGCTACAGGTATTGTAACGTACATTTTAATAACAATTGATTACATGATACATAGTACTTCAGCCATCATCTTAGAATTGCAAAACGAGCTCTCACCTAATTCCCCATACCTTCCTATGTCGCACACCTTCTGATATCTTTCTTTCTCACTAGCTTAATTTGTGTCTTCTTGTAGCAGATGGCTAACTCAAGACTTTTTATTAGTCAGCCTACTGATAATGTTTGTCCTTCAACACCCACATGACAAATTTCAGCATGATTGGCACTGGCCTTTAGTTTATTCCACTATTTTATCTCTGTAATCCTTAATCGCCTCACCACACTAGAAAGAGCAGTTATCACTGTAGATAAATCAGTGGTCAATCTTCTAAGGCTCTGATGTCTAACAACACACTTGGAGAATGGAGAATTGTAGAAGATATTGAGGTTTGCCTTTACTGCAATATAAAGACAAATGCAAATGAAACATCAATTATATAGTTTTTCTGTGGATTCAGGAAGCAGAAAGCCATGTGTCGTGTTACATGGCTGAGGAGGATCAGAAAGGGAATAGGAATAAAGCAGAAAATGATCGCATGCAGATTACGAAATAGCATCTGAAAAGAATTTTAAATACATTTGATCATAGGAATGGTCCTGAAATCCTAAGCTCTAATTGTGGAAAACTTTTAACATGAGCAGGGCTTGCTAGTCACACTTGCCATCGCCATGGACTCTTGATTCTCATGCCTGCCTTAAGGGTAATATAACACTATCATCAGGAATTAAAGAGGGAAAGGTACCAATGAATGACCATGCGAAAATTGCCTGTCAGTTTCTGTGTTTGTGAAAAGTGTATTCAGTTTCTTTATTTACATCTTTCTTGTGGCAGCTGATGCTTCGGGATCAGAATATCAAGACCTTGTATCAGAAATTCAGCTTTTGAAAGAGGTGAACCATCCAAATGTGATCCAGCTTCTGGGTGTTTGCACACAGAAAGGTCAGTATATGAATGGTAGCATTCAGGACAATTAGTACAGTGTCTCATATTAGTACACATAGGTCAAGTATATAGGCAACAGTTACTTTATCTTTTTCAGCACAAAGAAACTCAGTTCAGTAATATTTCAAACTCCAAATCCAATAGCACAACAAGAATAACTCACAATGAAACACACACAGCTATTTTAAAGATACTCATTTACAAACTAATTTTGTTAATTCATTTTTATCCCTTTACTATATTACATCACATAAAGATCAAATCAATTCCTTCATTGCATTCTGTCATGTGCAGTTTGTTTCAGTATCGTTTATGTAATCTAGTCTGACCCTCAGCACTCTCGCATCAGTGTTTGTCATAGAGTTTCTCATGAATGTCTTCACTTCTGCAATCACTTTGATTCGAATTCCAGTGCCTGTTTTGTGATTCTTGTTTCCACTTCCTCTCAGAATGCGACCAATATTGCCATCTTCGTTTTCCTTTAACTGTTAGTATTCGTGATTATCAGGACATTTCTGTCAAATATTTTGTTTCCGTCTTTCTTGATTCCGTCCCATTTATTGTTCATCAGTTTCCCCTGGTACCTGTTTTCAAATGTGTTTAATATTCTAGTGAAGTCTTCAGGACTGAAGAGGAGAGATTTGTCAGATGGCTAGAATGCTAGGCTCTAAAGTGTGAGATCTAGGTTTGATCCTCAATAAGAAATAGAGATTTTTTTTCTGTCGTGGGCAAATATAAAATTCGAAAACTGAACAGTTCGTGGCGACTACACTGGCCATGCAGCCATACAAATAATCAGGCTAACGACCCTCCCCCTCCCACACACACACACCCTAACACACACCCACACATACACACTCACCCACCAACACACACACACACACTACATTTCCCCCTTTACACCACAAAGTTATTGCAGTGATGTTGCTGTTGGCTCTTTCTATTACCTGGCCTTTATACATGCTTTAATCATGCTGTAAAGTCTAGACACATTATCGTATAGTCGAAACACGACGATGACGATGATACAGTTTATTGTAGGACAACAAATAAGTCATTCAGTTGATGCCAAAAGTTCTTCCTGGTCGTTGACACTTGCTCACGACTGACTGTCACGACACGACGACAACTGGACATTTTATGCAGTTACCTGCCAGTCAGAACGTTCCATTCACTCAGGTATTGGCATCTGAATCACCATAACACAATGTTTACAGCCACTAGACGTTGCAGCTCAGAATAAAATCTCTCCAGACATTACTAGCTTTCAAAAGCGGTGTTCCTTCAGTTTACAAATGACGTTCACCTCAGTCACATCATCAAGCAACCTGCCTCAAAACACAGCTGACTCTGTATCGTCTCTCTGTTCAAACGTTCGTTCCAATCTCACTTTTTTTTCCTTTCACCTGTTCACAGGACACGGGATATTCTAGACACTTTTCCCACGCGTCTCTAGTTTTCATGGGCCTCTGACCTTGTCCCCTCAATTGGGAAACTCTCTGGGGTTCCATGGGAATTCCCATCATTGCAGTAGTATATACACAGGCAGTAGTTCTTATTCTTAACCTTTTATTGGTAAATGTTAGATTTGGCATAATATTAGAATTTCGAAATGGTTACAACTTTTATGTAGTCAAAACCTGAAGGTAATTCCTTAAACAAATATACTAATCTGAGATTTGATAATTAGTTGTCTTTTCTTTTATGACAAACCACTATTGTCCATGTTTGCTTATACAGTATACACAAGACAGGTTTGCTTATCCATTCACAGGTCCTCTGCTTGCCATTGTGGAATACTGTGAACTTGGCTCGCTGCGCAACTTCTTGCGCTGCTCCAAGTTTAAGAACAAAGCAAGCTGGGAAAACAGAATTAAATATGGAAATGATGTTGATGGCACTGTTGCAGACAACTTGTTAGATCCCCGTAATCTGACCTGTCGAGATTTGTTCTCGTTTGCTTGGCAGATAGCGAAAGGCATGGACTACCTGGCCAGTTTAAAAGTAATTGATTCTCATTTTTATTCTAGATCTTCAGTTTCTTTTGACTCTGCTTTTGTCATTTATGCATTACAAATAGTTTCTTCTTCTTCGTCTCTTCTTCCGCCTCCTTTTTCTTCTTCTCCTCCTCCTCACTCTTCTTCTTCTTCTCCCCTTCCTCCCTCTTCTCTTTCTTCTCCTGCTCCCTCTCCTCCTTCTCCTCCTCCCTCTCCTCCACCCTCTCCTTCTCCCTCTCCTCATTCTTCTCCTCCTTCTTCTTCTCATTCTTCTCCTTCTTTGTCTTCGTCCTCGTCTCCTCCTGCTGATGCTGCTGTTGCTTTCTTCTTCTTCTTCTTCTTCTTCTTCTTCTTCTTCTTCTTCTTCTTCTTCTTCTTCTTCTTCTTCTTCTTCTTCTTCTTCTTCTTCTTCTTCTTCTTCTTCTTCTTCTTCTTCTTCTTCTTCGTCTTCTTCTTCTTTTTTGTCTTCTTCTTCTTCTTCTTCTTCTTCTTCTTCTTCTTCTTCTTCTTCTTCTTCTTCTTCTTCTTCTTCTTCTTCTTCTTCTTCTTCTTCTTCTTCTTCTTCTTCGCGTTCATCGGCTGTAAACATTGGCGGAAAGTTCTGGATCTTCGTCCACTTCCAAACTTTAGTCCTATTCCAGAACTTGAGTGTTGCTTGCACATCTGTTTCACATATTTGGCTTAATAGTATGCAGACTCTTGGTTCCTTGCCTTTAAGTAGATTTACTCTGACTTCAAAGGAGACCCCTGTTTACTCCTACGAAATTCTGTCAGTGTCTGTGGCATAGGTATTACGAACGTGCTTCGTAATGCCAAGGTGCGGGCGATTAGGCAGCAGAACGTCTTGCGTTGGTTTCGACAGTGGAACCGAGAGCTGATCATTCACTGAACAGTGGTAAACTACTGAACATAAAATTTGCTTTTAAAAAACAGCATTAGCCAAAAATTACTGGGGTTGTTTCTGCAATATCCTGAGGATACGCAACCAATTTTTTTGACGACTTGCAGTTGGTCTTTTCTGGTTTTGCCCACAATGGGACGCTAGAACCCATAAGAGGGAATTGACAAAAAGTTAAAACTATAATAGGCTGTTTAAGTGACAATGTTAGGAACATATAGATAGCTAATCGAAACATTAAATCAAATGCATAACTGCCAATCCTATTATCCCGAAGTGAATCCTGAACAGGTAGACGAAATCATCTCCGCTCGGGACAGTATTTGGATCTATCTCCTTTGAGCTCATCAACACTACAAGAGTCTTGTTTAGTTCAACTTAGTGGCGAGCTGTGCTAAGCTATTTTATATGGTACAAATAGCCTAGTCACAATTATAATCTAAAGCTCCCCTTTTTGGGAATGCCGGTTGAAAGTGACAATTTTGTTTAGCAAAGCAACCGAACGGCAGGTCATGGACAATAGGAAAACTTTTAAAATGCTTCCATTTCCTTTGTTTATCAAGCTGTCTAATATAAACTGTCTTTTATCCAAACACAGTTATATTCTTTACCAGTCTTTAGCAGCTAATCATTTGTATCATTATCCATTTGTTTTAGGCTAATGAAGGTGTTCTGTCTACAAAGTTTATTTTGTCACTCATGATTTTGTTCTTGGGAGACTGTTTGCCTTTTCAAGTTGTTTGATTTTTTCTGTTTCCTCATTCCTCTTAAATCGCGCCTCTGCACAATAGTTTCCTGTTTTCTCTCCTTGTGTGTGTATGTACTCTTGTGAGCATGTATCTGTGTCTTTCTGAATATGTATATGTGTGTATATGTACGTGTCAGTTCATGTTTCTGTGTGTATTGGTGTATCTACGTCTGACTGCACATGTCTTTGTGTGCCTGTGTATGTGTGTGATAGTATATATGTGTCTGTGTGTATGTGTGTGTGTCCCTCTTTTTCTGTGTTTGGAAGAGCCAAATGTAAGACAGACTTGTGTGCCTAGTTTGTGACCCTTTGGAAAAGAAAGTTTCATTTGTTTATTTATTAGCTTGTTCCTTAATCAGTTATGTTATAAACGGGACTGTCATCATCATCATCATCATGTGCCCTGCCAACTGGCGTAGGCGCTCATGCGTCTGCAGAGATCACGATCCTTGGTTGCCTGGAACAGCTCTCTTGAAGATACTCCTCCATGCCCTCGTTTCAGCCCACCCAACATCATCTCTCTTGGTCTGCCTTGACCCCTTTTTCCACTGATTTTTCCAGTTGTCACGATGTTCTCCAATGTCTCTTTTCTCATTATGTGGCCAAAGAACAGTGTTTGTCTCTTTCTCATTGGTGTATATAGAGATCTACTTTCATTAGCGTCTTTCAAGCAATCGTTGTTAGTTACTCTAACCGTCCAAAGTATTCGTAACATTTATCTCAGAAACCACACCTCTTCTTAATTTGTTCATTGACATTCCAAGATTCGCTGCCATTCTGCAGAACAGGTTCTCTGTAACATTTTAGCACCTTCTTTCTGACATTAAATGAGAGCGACTTATTACATAAGATATTTTTCATTTTCTGAAATGCAGCTTTTGCTTGACCTATTCTGCTTTTAGCCTCAGTCACACATTTTCCATCTGATGATATGATTGTTCCCAGATATTTTGACAATATTGACTTGGTTAAGTCTATTACCTTCAACTGAGATATCACAATGTGAAGTTATCTTCTTCGATATAACCATTACTTCCGTTTTTTTAATAGGGACTGTATGATTACTAAATGATCAGTCTTTTCAAGTTACTATTCTTGACTGAAGAGTGTTGTCAATTGTGCAATTGGCAGTACATCTTTGTTTTTCTGTCATGTTTTAGATAATTCACCGTGATCTAGCTGCCAGAAATGTGTTAGTGACAGATGGCATGAAAATGAAAATTTCCGACTTTGGACTCAGCAGGGATGTTTATGAAGCTGATACTTATCTGAAAATGAGTAAGGTATGTCTGCTTTTTTTTTTTTTAAAATTAACTCCACATTTGAGTGAAAATTTGTGACCAAATGGGGCAAACTTTCAAAGCTGTTAGAAACATCATAGTTACGAAAACCTTATGAGAATGTAAATAGACAAAGAAAGAGAAACACCTTGTTAACAAAGCACCACCCACATTGTTACTTTATAATCGTAGGGTGCCACAATTCAACTGTGTTATAGGGTTGAATTCGGTTTCTGGAACCTACTTTTGTTTCTGAGATAGCATTCCTTCAGTCGCCTTGATTATTTCTTATTAAAAACACTAAGACAATGGACCATAAACTCGGGGGAATTCCCTCTCAACAATTCCTTATCTGGTCACTAATAAGCTTCACTAATAAGCTTTTTTTTTTTAAAAATTTATGTCAATACTTTTTTTTTATCTTTTTCAAATATTTAAATAATATAAGGGTCGTGATCAGTTAAATATAAAGAATGCGAAATATTAAACATAATATTAACCATCCCCCCCCCCCCCTTTTCCCCCTCCTTTTTCCGGTCTAATGAAAATATTTATAATGTCTTTCATGCCGTGATCTTGTGCTCTCTATTACTTAGGCTATAGGAAAATTTGATGTCAACATGCCTATAAATAAGCTGGTATTTTTGTTAAATAGATTCATATCTTGGCTTTATTAAAGCTGTGCAGGCACAAACAGAACCAATAACATAAAACCACGCTTTTCAGAAACAGGTCACTGCAGATTTGCCGGTTCTGTGGCCTTTACGCCAATATGGAAACAATTGAAAAGCCAGATTTGTGGTTTCCTCGTGTGACAGTATTAAACCAGACATGAAATAATTTTTAGTCAATTTACATCAGCATAGTGTAACTAAGTAAACCACCTTTTCACACTAGTCGCACTTCCGGCACAAAATGCTTATCTCGTTGGTTATTGACCAATCAGCTCTCATTGTTTAATGGGGTCAGCATCACAGTTGGCACCTTTACTTCCCACGGCATTTAATTTTTACCCCTTTAAGGCTAGTCCGTTAAGTAAACAAGGGTCATAATAGAAAAGCCCCTCTGTATAGATTTAGACAAGACCCTTAGGCAGACATTTAAATGCCTAGCCACTTTCTCAGTCATATTTTTGAGTGAATGTTATTTTCCTTCCATATCCTTAGTGGTCTTCCAACTTTCACTGGCTTACGTTAAAAGTGAAATGACATTAAAAGTGACAGTGAATAACTTGGTTCTTACTATAGTTTAGAATTCCATATGTTGTTCAAGCTCTTAATAATTGTTGATGTCTTGCCAATGTGTTTTATATTTTCATTCTTTGTGTTTCCTTGACTGTCAGGTTCCTATCTAAATAGGTAAACTATTATATTACCTTATTTCTGTTCTTTTCCAATGCTACATCTGCTTTACCAGTTCTTGGAGCTTCAGTATATTTGTCTTTTCATAACTTATATCTAGAGCAATTGTTGGTTCTATTTGTACAATGTTATCTGTTTTTCTTTGCATGTCACTGCTGTTCTTTTTCTGCAGAACAAAATCATCTTCAATATCAAGATCTTCTGATTGTGTGTTCTCGACGCAGTCAGTGTCTCCACCACGGCATGTTTTGTTTTTTTATCGTCCAGTCAGTAGCTATACTAAATAACAGAGGATATATTATGCTTCCCTTTTTTACACCAGTTTCAACTGCAAACAAATCATTTAAACCATGATCTTTCTGCATTGCACACTCTGGCCCTCATGTCTTGCTTCAGTAATGTTCATTATTTTTTTTTGGGGGGGGGGGGGGGAGGGGGGGGGGGTATACTCAAGCATTAAAAATGTCCACACAGTCGTGTTCTGGATAAGCTATTAAAGGTCTTTGTAGAGTTGATGGAATTCACAATAAATGGTTGTTTATTTTCGACCAGTTCCGCTTAAAATAAGCTCAATGTCATTATTTGATTCGAGCACGAATCATCTCCTTTGTGTCTTTATCATTTTTTTTTCCTCGCTGTTCTTTTTGTTGATCTTCATTTAAATGTATTTCGTATGGTCCAGTAAAATATTATGAGTCATCTCATATTATCTTTACTATTAAATAATATTGTCATGCTCATGAAGATTGTACGAGAGTCGTCGGCTTGCATGTCGACCCAGCCTTGAGTGGGTACTAGATACAGTCCTGGGAAGTAAAGGCGGCCTGCGTGATGCTGATCACATCACCCACCAAGTGTCGTTTGGTCTATAAAATTTAGCTCTAGCCCTATATACCCAATAGGCCTATGCCTAAAAGGCGTAGAAAAGGGTACTTTTTACTTTTATGTAGATTGCACTTCATAATTGTACTGATTCAAGGGTAGAATACCAGTCAAATGGATGGCACCTGAGTCACTTTATGCCCAGTTCTACACAATAAACAACACTTTAGCATTGCCATGTTCATGTGGTTTGATTTCATAATTGTACTGTTTCTAGGGTAGAATACCAGTCAAGTGGATGGCACCTGGGTCACTTTATGCCCAGTTCTACACAATAAACAACACTTAAGTATTGTCATGCTCATGTGGATTGCACTTCATAATTGTACTGTTTCTAGGGTAGAATACCAGTCAAGTGGATGGCACCTGAGTCACTTTATGCCCAGTTCTACACAATAAACAACGCTTTAGCATTGCCATGCACATGTGGATTGAACTGTTTGATAATTGTACTGTTTCTAGGGTAGAATACCAGTCAAATGGATGGCGCCTGAGTCACTTTATGCCCAGGTCTACACGACAAAAACAGATATGTAAGTAACTAAATTGTAGTTAAAATAGGTGACCAATAACTTTATAATAGTACTGCAACTGAATGCACCATTACCTCAGCAACAGTCAGTATAATCAAAATGTAGAACTTGTCAGTTTTCTAATAAAACAATCACAGTGACAGAATACTTTTTGCGGATAGAAATCTGACCTTTAATTAAGCGCCGTGCGAGTAAGATATATCATCTCAGCTATCGTATGACAGCCACAATACTAAGCTTATGAAGTAATGATAAAAGTAAAAAGTAAAAGATCCTTTCTGTGCCAGTGGTGCAACAGACAAATGATTCTAGACTTAAAGCTTTAGAGACCAACTGGTATTTGGTATCACAGTGATCATCTTCACATCCCAGGGCTTTTCCTGGTAACCATTTTAAGCGGGGTCGGCCTAGAAGATTCAGAACAAAATTGTTCAGTTCTGGTCGGAAATAGGCTGCTTGTACCTCTATAATGTTTCAAAACAAGACACCTGTGTTGGTGAACACCTGTGTTGGCGAAATCCTGTGCTACAAGACTGCATTAAATGTTACATGACGGCATCTGTTATTGGTAAAGAATGCATTAACTACTACATAATACAAACTGTTACCATATTCTGATAAAACAAGACCTAAACAAACAAACAAAAAGGCTTAGTATGGTGGTTCAGTATGTTTGTAATATAAGCAACACCCCAGATATAAGCCCTTGGTTAGGATCATCAGCCAGATGGAAAGATTTTGACTGTTAAAACACACGATACAGGTGTTGAACCAAAAGGTAATGAATGTATATATCAATATAAATAAATAATAATACTGACATTTAGTAAATAATAATATAAATGTCAATTTATATACATGAATAAATAAGAACATCCCCTGCAAAAAAGCATTAAGGCATCTTTTGGATCAAAAATTAATATAAAGATCCTGTCTTTGGGGGGGGGGGGGGGCATAGTACAACTGCTACTATATTAGAACTGTTTCTTGTTGTCACTAGTGAGTGGACTAACTATTACATGACAACTGCTGTTTTGTTGATCATTAGTAGGTTGGTAAACCGTTGAATTACAACTTCCATTTTGTTGTTGGTGAGTGCACTGAACACTGTATCAAAGCAAGCCTTACATTACATCTGCTCTGTGTTCTGTTTATCAGTCGCACTAGAAACGACATTTCAGCTCTCGTTTTATTATTAGTAAGCAAGTAGACAATTACTTCATTAAAACTGCTTCTCTAGTGTCATAGAATGTTTTAAAATAAATTACCACTCCTAATTTCTATGCATTCTAACAAAGACACCATTATCACAGTGTTTAAATAGTGATTTGAATGCACAATTTTTATTAGCATAAAGTAAGATAATTTGATTTGAACCCTAAGCAGAAACTTGTAGGCTTTTTCACATCAATGTTTCTTAATTTTAAAGTCTATGTCATCATCAATCAGGTGCCGACTCCACAGTGAAGGTTGGCTGCAATGGGTCGCCAACATGCTCTGTCCCTTGTCCTGGTTGTACACCCTCTCAGATAGCTGCCGGTGCAGCTCTTGATGTTGTCCTCCCACTTGTATCATTTCTCACCTCTAGCCTTCCACTTTTTCCTCCCGTATGGTTTTTTAAAGTGTGTTATGTCTTTTAATGTGGTTAAAGTATTTCAGTTGTCTATTTTTTAATTCTTTTCGTAATTTTTTTTTTTTTTTTCATTTGTGGCCTTTCCAGAACCTCTGTATTGAACTGTTTTTGTTTCCATGAAATATGACCTATTCTTCTGCTTACCAACATCTGCAGAGTCTTAATTTGATTTTCTAGTTGCTTGTTCGTTGTCGAAGTTTCTGCACTATATAACATGATTGGGTATACATAACATTTGACGATTCTCATATTTAGTGTGTTGTTTATCTCTCTAGCTGTCAGTAACTTGCGCATCTTATTGAAGACAGATTTAGCCATTCCTATTCTCTTTTTGATTTTTGTTTTACTTCTTCCATCATCTATTACTACATGTCATAGATAGGAAACACTTGTTACTTGTTCTAATAGCTCTTTGTCTGCTGTGATGTCCACTGTTGGCTGCTCTTTTCCATTGTTAATTACTATAGTTTTTGTTAATGTTTAAACCATACTCTGCACTCCTCCTGTTGACTTGATCAAATAATTAATGCAACTTCTGCTAACTTTCTCCTAGTAGCACTGTGTCATCGGCGTATCTCAGACTGTTTATTGTTCTTCCAATAATATTCAGTCCAGGCAATTCCTCATCCTGTTCAAAGATGTTCTCTGTATTTAAGTTCAAAAGGCTTGGAGATAACACACATCCCTGCCGTATTCCTCTTTTTATCTCAGTCTGTGGTGAGGTGATGTTGTTGAGTCTAACTGTTGCTATTTGTTCCCATTATAGGCTACTCCTAATTTCCTATATTTTAAAGACATGTATTTAGCTTTTTATATTGCACCCAAAGCCAGTGTACATGTACTGTAAAATCTAGTCGATATGGGACGGAAAAATCAAGAGCTCATGTTTAGAAAAAAAATATGCTAAACAAGGAAAACAATAACACATCTATGTTGAGACAAAATGTTGTTCACGTAAATCTAGCATTGTTTTCAAGCTGATTTATGTAAATGATATTTTACTGAATAAATAGTTTTAACTTTTAATTTAGTGTTTACATTTTGTATGCCGCACTTTTTCTAATGCTGCTTAGCTGGTCGTATGGAGTAGTTCTGTGGGAAATCGTCACTCTAGGTAATTCATTGTAATTTGTTACATTGTTTGTTAAACACGAGATAATTATTGTTAGCAAGCCAAACATGTAAATAAATCAGCATGTCGTTATGTTTTCATTTCATATTTCTTCATCCTAGGATTGGTCTTTGTGTATGTGTCTACGGATACAAATATTTATTTTTAAAATGTATAGAAATTGTAAACGTGCTAAAATATTCAAGGATGACATACAAACAAAATTAATGTTCTTAGGTCTGCATCAGAGCAAGAAGTGTTATGATGGCTTGGCAGGAATGCTGTTTGTGTTCAGTCCCTGAAGTTATTTACAATGATGACACACATGAGATTTTTGCGCTACACAAAACCATTATTGTTGCTAAAAGTTAAAAAAAAAAGGTTAAAGTCGAGAGGATGGACTTCACTGTACTGGGTTTTATAACATCTCTCTCTCTCTCTCTCTCTCTCTCTCTCTCTCTCTCTCTCTCTCTCTCTCTCTCTCTCTCTCTCTCTCTCTCTCTCTTTCTCTCTCTCTCTCTCTCTTTCATTCTCTCTCTCTCTGTCTTTCTCTCTCTCTCTCTCTCTCTCTCTCTCTCTCTCTCTCTCTCTCTCTCTCTCTCTCTCTCTCTCTCTCTGCCAAGAGTGATGTACACAACACAAACTTTGTAGCTCCGGCGACGATCCCTAGAGATCTCCATAAAAATTGCCCTCATGAACTGAAGGGCACAGTCGTTAAACGAACCCACGACCTTCAGAGTGCCAGGCAAACGGCTTGACCACGTCATCACGGAGACCATCCCATTTGTCTCCCCCTCTCCGCCTCCCCCACCATTTCTTTTGTGTACCTGTAAACTGTAGACGACAAGCAGACAAGCTGAGAAATATGAAATGGCAGCAGGAATGCTTGATGTGGAAAATAGAAAGAATACAATGGATAATCAACTAATGATACAGTCCTTAAAAACATGAAATGAAGATGATGTATCTTCTTCTTTGCATTCACTGGGTGTAAATGTTACTGGAAAGTTCTGGCTAATAATTCACTTCTGGACTTTATTCTTGTTGCAAAACTTGAGTTTAGCATGCACATCAGTTTTACAAATATGGCTTATTTGTATGCAGACTGTTGGTTCTGTGCCTCACAAGCAGATGCACTTTAAAGTTAATCCCTAATTAGTTTACTCTTACGACATGCTTGTTAGGAAGGCAGAGGGTCTGTTCTTTTTCCACACACAATGGGGCCCTCGAAACCATATGGGTCGATTTAAGAGATTAGTCCCAGACAGCTAAGTCATTTTGATCATCTTATGAGGAGAAATTAACTTGTAAACTAAGGGACACCTGGCAAACTGACGGGGAACAAGTAAGGGGAGGGCAGAGACAAAATATACCTGGATGAAATAACCAAAACAAGAACAAGATCATAGACATAGTCAACTGTATTTGATGGTAAATCTTGACTGCCCAAACCTGTAAGCTACACAGATGATCTCTCTCTTGTTGTACCCCACCAGGAAATCACACAAGCGATAAACACCCAGTGACACAAAGTGCCACCATGCCGATGAAGATCATCCGTTGAGAGGTCCCGGAAACCTCTTCAGCCGCGATGGCTATATTCAGGGCCCCCAGCAAAAGCCGGGATGGGGCTTCAAATAACAAAAAAATTGCATCTCACATGGATACGACTGAATGTATTCTGCACAACAGATGATATGATTGATTGACTTTCTACCCCACTAGGACATCACACAAACGATAAACACCCAATGACACAAAGTGCCACCATGTGGATGAGGATCACCGTGGAGAGGTCCCAGAAACCGCGTTCGGACAACTGGCCATATTTATGGCCTGCCTTTATTGCGGCCCCTGGCAAAAGCCAGAGTGGGGTTTCAAATAACAAAAAATTACGTCCTAGAAAGGACGTAAGGAATCTGTAGTGGTGTACATGTAGCTAACAGATGATATGCTTTTTACATTGGAGTGACTCTGCACTTTAATTCAGAAAGTTGAAATTATAAGAGTAAAATTAACTTTCTTTTTATCACTGAATCTCCTAGCTATAAAATAAAAATGTATTTCATCTGTTTTGTCATTTACAAACAGTTTGTGAAAATTTTCTTTACTTTTTAGGTGCTGCTATAGATGCAAAAAAATTGAGAGAAATGTGCACTTATAGTTTTAGAATCATATATCATGTTTGTTGTGGTTTTCTTTAAAGGGGCATCACCATATCCTGGAATCCCTCCAGAGAGATTATTTCCCTTATTGAGTACTGGCTACAGAATGGACCGGCCTGATGATTGCCCGGAGGAGTTGTAAGTGTCTGGCTGTCTGTTCTGTCTGTTTGGATGTTGCTACTGTTAGTAATCACACAATGGTTGATAATTATCGTATGCAGTTAGTGACAATGGCTAAATTCTTTCAATACCAGCAGAAAGTATTTCACCTCATTTAATCTTTTAACTCTTTTGAGTCCCAGTGGGTTTAGCATCACAGGCCCAAGGAGCAGTAAAGTATAAAAGTAAAGAAAAAGGTACACACCAAAATATACCTTTTCGTCCTTCTTAGGACGTTATTTTTTGTTATTTGAAGCCCCACTCTGGCTTTTGCCAGGGGCCGCAATATAGGCAGGTCATCATTATGGCCAAATGTCTGAACGCGGTTTCTGGGACCTCTCCACGGTGATCCTCATCCGCATGGTGGCACCTTGTGTCATCGGGTGTTTATCGCTTGTGTGATGTCCTGGTGGGGTAAAAATCCAATCCAATCCTACACACCAAAAGGGACCTAGATGCAGATTTTTGCCAAATGGACAGGCCTAAAATGTGCAAAACGTGTTGTGTAAGGAGATGATCAGAAAGCCAGCAGTAACTGGTAGCCCAATGAAACAAACTGTTGTAGGACTATATGATGATAATGTCTTAACATTTGTCACCTTTTCATATTTCATACAAATCTGATTCATGGTTAATTGTGGTGCCACAATAGTCTAACTTCATCTCCAAATTGAGGATTGTTTCTTTTGAGAGACTAAGGTCTGGGATCAACCCACGCACAGTAAATGCCTTTGAAGGGAGATAGACAAACCTTTGTAATACAGGTGTCTGAAACAGAACTTCTCAAAACATAAGTTTAGCCGAAATAGGTAAAGGCGTGGAAGTTTCAAATTTTACAGTCAGTTTACTTCAAAGCCATGCTGCCATAATGATTAGAGTGCTTTTCCTCCAAGACAGTGGAGCAGGTTCAATCAGCAGAAATAAGAAATTATTCCAATCAAAACATGTCCAGAGGTTACCCAGTCTTAGTAAAATGGGTGACAAACAGTTTTCAGAATCATCTTGGGAGGACAGGCAATGAAGAAGAGAGCTAGCCACCCTACCTCATATGTTGTAGCCTATAGTATATGTGAAGACTTAACTCCCTAGATCCTATCATCAATGTCCACTATAGTATTTAATATCAGTATACATTGTTTTAGTACTGATTTTGTTCCCCATATGGGTTCCTGGTCCCATTGGGGGTGGGGGAGAGAACAGACCCAATGCTTCCCTAACAAGCATGTCGTGAAGTCAGCTGTTTAGGGTATTTAGATGTTTACCTGCGAAACAGAAGGTCGTGGGCTCGGGTCCTGACAGTACCTGGCGGTTTTTTTTTTTTTTTTTTTTGGGGGGGGGGGGGGGGTTAAAATTATCTTGGCTCCCATGTTGGCCCAGCCTTGAATGGATACCAGGTGGAGTCCTGGGAAAGTAAAGGTGGCCGGCAGGATACTAACCACAGTACCCATAATGTACCGACTGGTGTAAAAATGATATGTATGCCGTGTATGCCCAGAATGCATGAAGTCGTGGAAAAGTTCCTTAACTTCATTTCTTTGAAGCAGGAGTGCATCTGCCTGAGAGGCAAGAAAGCAACAGTCTGCTTACACATAAGCTAGATCTGTAAAACGGATGTACATACAAAACTCAAGTTTTGGAACAAGACTAAAGAGCAGAGGTGGAATAACCACCAGAACTTTCTGCCGGAGTTTACAGCTGATGAACACTAAGAAGTGAGGAGGTCGTAAAAATTATATAATCACAATGGTCTTTGAGAGAAAGTATTTGAAAAGTTTGAAATTTGTGGTTTCATTATTTTATTCCCTATTGTGAATTATGACATCAGAAGGAGACAGTCATCATTTTTCGGCCATGTTATGAGAAGAGGGAAAATAGAACATGTTGTGACCACTGGAAATATCTGTGGAAGGAGGGATAGAGGAAGACAACGAGAGAAGATGCTTGACAGTCTTGTTGCATGGCATGGAGGTGTGTCGGCACACGAACTGATACATGCTGCAGGAGATCGCGGATTATGGAGAGGCATGATCGCCCATGCCAGTCGGCAAGGCACCTGATGATGATGATTGTTAATTATAAAGTTATAAACATCTCCAATGTAGGTATGCTATAATGCAGAAGTGTTGGAAGGCAGAACCAGAGAATCGGCCATCTTTCTGTTCTTTGAAAGACATTCTTGACAACCTGCTGCAACAGAATACTGTAAGTACCCACAAACACAAAACTAATATAGCAAGTTGTACAGAACAAACAATGACTAGAAAGCTCAGTGGAGTGAATGAAAACATTCTGAATACAGCCAGATGTTTCAACTAGTCTGAATGAATGAGTGAATCAATTAGTCAAGAGTTGGCATCACTGTGCATGCTCCATCCCGTTCCTCAATAGCTAACGAGGAATTGCCTGTTTTGTTTCTCTTTAAACCAGTTTTTATCATTTGACAAGTAGAAGATTAATTAGCTATCCTCCGAATAACGGTCCCAAATTATCGAGGCCGAAAATATACGCGCGGCACGGAGGGGGCTAAACTAAATGGCTGGGACTCACGAGCAAATAAAATGGAGGAGATGCGGTAACTGCTGCTGAGTCCCAACCATCTAGTTTAGCCCTGCTCCGCGGCGGAAACTCTCGGCAGTGGCTTTAACTTGGCGGAAGCTTTTCCGCGGTATTCTGTGTAGTCGCCTGAAAGAGGTCCGCAACTCACATGTGACTGAGGCCCTGTTAGTGTATATT